GAAAAAGAAAAATCACTTACCAGAATCGTTTTACATCAACAAAACAAAAATGATTCCATCTTTAATTCAATTCTACATAATTCATCTGAAAATACAAATGTTTGGTACCACGTGTTATTTCTGCACGTGACACTGCATAGCCGACCTTCATTATTTGTATAGACCTAACGCATGCAAGTTGAGCCCCTTAATTTAATAATCTACAAATATCTTTTGATAACAAGATACGACTATATTTTGGCCAAAAAGAAAAATACCACCATACCATAATAGTTCTTATTGTTAGTGACTGTAAGAGCTTGTCATATATAAAAAAAACATCAAACACATAAAATTTTTTATTTTTCTCATATTAAAGGAATATGAAGCCAAAACATTGTCAGAGTTAATTAATTTCTTTATTATGATCAATGAAAACAAAATTAAAAAGAAACATTAAATAGGTTATAAGTAACTTATATTTAAGATCAAAATCTCCTTACAAGTCAATAATGATAAGGACAAAAATGATACTGTCTCCGATCCTTAATATAAAACCTCGTTTAATTTTTATTTTGAATATAAATATAAACCTCTAATTCACTTTGCTTATCATGTTTATCTTTTTTTTAAATAGTAATAATAGTAATCAATAAATTTGATTAGTAAAGATATTTTAAAAAAATAATATTTATTTATTATAAATAACTAACTTAACTTATTTTTTAATCTATTTAAATTAGTCAATTAGTTTTTTTTATGTTTAGAATCAGAGAGATAGTATATTATTATTTCCAAACTAAACTGTTTTTTCACGGGCAGTAGATTTTAAACCTGTCAGTAATAATAAATGAGTACTTATTTGTGGTGTTGAATTGCCGTTCATCTTTAATCGCCGCGTGGAAAGTAACATCTAGTTTGCTTTTGAGACTTGAGAGCGATTAGTGAGAACAAAAGAACATTATTTTTACCGCATGATAATAAAATACATATAATTTTGATCCTTGATGTAAAATTTAATTAAAGATATTAACTAAGTTAGTTAATATTATATATTTTTTAAACATCTTAATCATTTTTTTCCTCTTTCTCTTTACTTGATTATTGTTGAGAGAATATCAATAAAATTAATTAAAAAATTGATAAAACGTGAATAAGTCTTACACATAAGACCAATATCAACTATCAAATTAGGGTATAATCTTACATTAAGCACTATGTCAATTCTTTTATTACCATCTGCTGGTGCCGGTTATTTTATATTCGATAATATAAACTAGATTTATGCTGGTTAGTTCATTTCATTTCTTTCTCAATATATTCTATGTTAAGTTACGTGCCAAATGATTCTCTGATCTAATTTTTCAAAATTAAATTCCTAAGCATTAAATAATATTTTTTTAGTTTTTAATGTAAGATATAATTAATTAATTTGAGTAGATTAAGAATGTTAATTAAATTAGTTAATATGATATATTTTTTCTAAAATATTCTAATTATTTTTTTAATTCTCTCATTTCCTTTTTTATTTGATTATTATTCAGAAAATATCAATACAGTTAATTTAAAAAAATAATAAATATATAAATAAGTTTTATATATAAAACTAATATTAACTCTTAAATTAAATTAGGTGTTATGTTAAAAGGGAGCACTGTACAAGCTAGTGTCGGCAAACACAAGCTCTCACACAAATTACTGCAGTGTACTCTGCACCATCAGACTAGTTGTAAAGAGTGAAAAAAGGTGACTGGACGACAGAAAAATACAACACAGTGGTAAAAAAAACATTGAGGAACAAGGCCACTTCTTTTTTTTTTTTTAAATACTTTTCCGAAATGAAAAGGGAAGGAAAAACCAAAAAACACATTTTGCTGGTTGTGATTGTGAGCAGGGTTTCGTAAGAAGGAAGGGGGTGGGGGATATATCATATGGCGGCATCTGGTACGTCACGGTCTTATTCTAAAAGCTCTTTAATACTGATTTAGATAATGTCGACCCCTGCAATATGAACTTTTGAAAATAAAACGGAAACAATACAGTCGCCGCAAAATTGTCTAAAGGAAGTTTCCTCATTAAATTCATTTTTATTTGGAGCCATCTCCTAAAAGTTCAAATTCACATGAATCACGCCAGAAAGGCGAGGCACTTGTTTTTTAAAATGCAACTATCTAATCTCAAATCTTACCATTTACCAATTAATTTAGATGCACGTAATATTTGGCGGATATGCTTGGGAAAAAAAAAGAAGATATTTGGTGGGTATGAAGTCGTAATTCGGGTTCAAATATTATTTGGTCTAAATAGACTATAAAGGTAGATCTATAGTTTGTTTTTCCATCATTTTGTCTTGCTTAGCATTAAACCATTTATTGCCTGGAACTGGAAGTTGTATTTGGTTTGATTAATCTGAACTATATGTCGGGTAGAACCATATCATATTTAATATAACATTCAAGATTCGAACCCAAAACTACTAATTAACGTGACATAGTTTATTATCAACTGAGTTTTGTATTTGTTTGTATATTCTCTCCCCATTTCTTTATGTAAACGTTAGAATTAAAAATTAATTTTATGACAGAAAAATTATATTCATATTATTAAATAATAAACAACGACGATAAAAATATAACAAACATAATGGTTATGTCTCGTAAAATAAAAAGTATATCTTTCATTAAAAATAACAACATGCAGGATCACCTGGTTATAGCGTTCTAGGCGGATTCTAACAACTCAATACAAAAAGCATATATAAAATAATTGTTATATTAGTAACATTATTTTCATTGATAAAATCATCTGTTTCATTTAATATTTTTTTAATTACCCAAAATATTTAAAATAGGAAAGACAAACAGTAAGAATAAGAGGTGGATCGGTTGAACACATCAGAAGCAGTTAAAGAGACAGCGAAACGATATTGAAATGATAAAGTCAAAGAATACTAAAAATCTGCCACTAGGAAGCATAATAAATTCAAATTCAAAGAATATTAAAATGATAATGTCTGGCCTGTCAACTATTAAGACGAGGAGTGTGACATGTTTCGAGGAGATTAAGATGCCAAGGTTATGAATAACCAAAATTCAAGAAGGTCGCAGCCATCAGGGCAGCAGCAACTCATTATATACTGCAACTAATGTTGATTATGCCAATGCTTTAAAGTTGAATAAGATTCAATATCACAGTACGTATCAGACAAGATTTACAAGTCACTGTGCCATTTTTAAATTTTTGTCCAAGTCAGTCTGTTTCGCGTGGTGGGTGATTCACGTTTCAAATAACTAAAAAGCAGCTAGGGGCTCAGTTGGTCCAAAGAAATTACACGATGCAATATCATGTTGCTAAATGCTAAAGAAAGAAAGGAAACCTTAAATCAAGTGGAATCTTTTGGATTTTTGTTACCAGAACTTTCTCTTGACCGGGAAACCAAATACCAGAAGGCAGTCTTAATTCATGTCTTGTTCTGGCAAGCACAGGCAAGAACCCATATTATTATTATTATTAAAAAGCCCTGTTTCCTCGGTTATTTCAAATAAAAACAATGATGAAATTTAATAAAAGAAGCGGAAGGAAAAAGAAAAAAGGAAGCAAGAACAGACACCGGAAATGGTATCAAGGTAGAGTGCATGCTAAGCAATAATTGCTTAAAATTTGAATGAGACTCGACAGTCTTAAAGCACATTTTTTTTAATGATTATGCAAGGCAGGGGAATTCCCTTAGTCATAGAACAGAATAGAAGATGAGGCGGCATACGAGACTTGATATACACCTTTGATCCAATCCACAATCAGATGCTCTGCTTTCAACTTAACTGCACTCATCAGTCATCATTATAATGTCGTATGTGGCAACAAACTAAATATACAAACCTATCAAACATTTTGATGGACAAAACCAAAAATTGTTCAAGCATAATTGCAATTGTCATGTCAATGTGCAAGGAGACAAAAATCTCAAAAATTCAGTTCCATATCAGTATTGGGTCATGGACAAGTCCAAAGAGGATCTGCAGTGCGAAATGACCAAGAGGCCGGCCCTTTCATATAACCAAATCCTATTCAAGTTCCTCCTTATACCTAAAAGGCCCATAACTCACAGTTACGGATTAAAATAAAAAAATATCATTCATCTTGCTAGGGATTCACTGTTCAAAATTCCGCTCTGAGATTCAACAAGGAAATTCCCGGGCATTGATTTGCGTGGATCATAATTTTGGGAAGGTAAACACTTTTGTCAGTTTTTGAGCAAAGGAGTTTAAAAGCACCGGTTAGTGCTTGCCTCCCCGCCATAAAATCACAAATTGGCCACAATTACGTTGAATGGTTGGAGATGCAACATGCTAGTACCGTACTCCTTCCGTTACTTATTATAAGATCTAATTTTTTGAACAGGTTTGTCTCTTTTTATAAAATCCTTTTTGGGTTTGTCTGAATATTTAATGCATCATTACTTATTTTACCCTTAGTTTAATACATTTAATACATTCTTTCTTTATTTATCTTACTATTACTCTCTCACATCTACCCATTTATATATAAGAGTATACTTGGAAAAAAATTACATTTGCTACATATTAATTGCTTTTAATTAATTTTAATTGTTTTCTTAAATTGCGCAATTTAATTAAAAAGATCTTATAATAAGGGACAGAGTAGTATACCTCATTGGTCTACGGAGAAAGGATCATAATGAAATACCTCCCTAACATCCCCGCCCATGGAATCCGATGGAGATTGATCTTGTGCTACCATTTCGAATCCAATAAGCAAAACCTTGGATTAGGTGGCATGATTACATGCCAGTAGTGTAATCACGATGTTCGTTTGTGTTTTTGAACTATTTCAATCTTGAGAGGTAGATTAACATTGATAATATAATAATAATTAAGACAAAAAACTATGGTAAGCATGTGTTTAGTATCCTATTGGTTTTGATCAAAGCAATATGAGATTAACTTTGGACTTGTCCGTGATTTAGCTTAAATCATCCACCACAATCATATTCTGTCCCCTCATGTAAATTAGATCTTAAATTTAAGACTAGAGGTAGTATTATAGTATTATTATATCAAGGTAATTATGTCAAGGCACTCAGAGTTACAAAATCTGGTTCTAAATATAAGACGTAGTTTGTAATGCAAGGGGAAAATAAATATGAAATCTCCAGCTCAAGCATGAAAAGCTACAAGATGCTTTATACACATCCCAAGCAAGAAGCATGGCGCTGAAGATAGCTGTGTCTTTTTAAGGGACGAATATGGTAGGTATTGCTGTGCCATCTCATGCTTTCGACAAAAGCAGACAATCAACTGATTACTGCAACTTTTCCCCTTCAAAACTGAACAACGTGTTTTGGCCTGCATTTTTTCCGAGAATAAATTTGAAGAAAGATGGCACAAACATTTTATGCATATCAGATTTTCGCTGCTTTTAATTTCCTAAGAAGGTTTCTTACTTTAGCCAAAAAGCTCAATGACAAACCTTGGAAGTGGATTGTATTTATATCAGACCCTTTCAGCTCCATCCCGATATTGTCTAGCAGGACTATCCCTGATGAGGTTATTTTAAACCGGAAAGCCAGAGGGGGTGAGACGGGAGACTTTGACAACTTAATAAACCTTTGACCTGCAAGAAAACGAACTACTGAAAGTCAAATATGTACAACAGATGTGAGTAATCATATATTATAAACAGTAGTCGGTTTTTCACGCAGGGGAACAAAATATTTTCCAATACCATTTCCGCAACTTTTAACCACAGATTATCAAAATTTAAATCAACAGTGAGGAAAAATCATTCATAATGATACCTGTCTTCCAAAACAGAAAAACAAACAATTACCATCGAAGTGTTAGTTTCTTGTTGCAACTAGTTGTTTAAGTTAAAATAACATACAAGAGTCCATAGAGAATTTTAAAACATCAATAATGACTCTGAAGAATCTGCACAGTTACATCTTGCATAAGGAGCAGGATTTTCCTTGCAGTAGTAGCCTAGGCTCATATAAATGAAGCAAGTGCAACCCGGACCTGATTTAGCCTCAAGTACAAGGCGTACGGTCACAGCATGAGCCCAGCTAATTCCCAGAGCAGCAACAAGGTGAGAATCATATCCAGCAGAATTGTGTTTCTTTCCAGCGTGACACTGGGCAACTTAAAACATACCATGATGCATTAGTAAAATAATTGAAAGTGTTGAGAAGCTAATTTTGCCTTCATACCTTGGAAGGGATACAGACAAGCTTCATCAACAATTTGAGATCTTACTTGATTTGTCACAACAACTGGAATTCGTGAAAATTCAGCAAGTGACCTAGGAATGTTCAAAATCAGTACCATACCACCACTCATGGGAAGAAACATTTTGCCTCATAAGAGTAACAGTATCTTACTTGATAAATGAAACATGCCAACCCAGTGCTTGCTGTCTAGAAGCTCCACTCTCTTCTCTGTGTGAAAAAAAAAGGACCAATTGCACTCAGAACAAACAACTCTCCGCGTTTTGATCTTTTCATCCAATGGCCTTATGTTTCTAATCAATTCAAAATATAAACAATAATTTGTAGGCCAAGGTTGGCCAGAAAAGGTAAAGATAGTCCCTTATCAGAATTAAATTATTCATGTAGTTGGTGCCATCATATGCTGATGAGCGATGATAAGCTCAAATATTTTTCCGTGAAAAACAGAGCAAAAATGGTTAGATATACAATGTCTAGGCATGAGGGATCCAAGAAGAGAATCAGATCAAATTGATCATAAGTTTGAGGAGCATAGAAGAGATTTCCATTTTAACTATACAACTAACAATCATCACGAAGTTAAACTCACCCTAGAGCAAGAGCAGCCATGCTATCAATGATGAGCAACTTCACTTGTTGCTGGAGGATTAATAGCTTGATCTGATGCAGACTGCTAGCATGAACACAACACATAGCACAGTGAACCCTTATCATTTACTTCCCATTCCCTGCAAGTAACTATTGGTTTAACCTACGAGGTTTTCCAAGACCCTTACCTTACAGCCTCTTAACACAAATTACATATCAGTAATTTGTTTCAACTGATGAAAAGGACAAAAAACGGAAAGAAAAGAATGCTATGGAATGACCACTTGTAACGATATATACCACACCTTAGCTTAACTGGAAGGAACAAGCACAGATATTTAATCTCTACCACAGACAATTTAATTATTTATTTTTCCAGGCTAAAAGCAAAACTTAGTCTTCAGCATTTTTTCACACATCCTTTTTGTTAGCAATTTGAAATTTTATCGGTGAATATAAATATTTGGGAGTTTTTTCCTTTGACATTCTCTTGAGACTGCAGAGGTCCAGGTTTCTTTTAACATGGCAAACATGAGCAAGATTTCATCATTCATCATATTGATATTACCTTGCAGATTTCAAAATCCTTTCCCTTACCATTAACTTAAGAATCTTTTGCATTTTTCTCCCATTCTACTGGATTAATAATTTAAATTTAATTTCATCAAAAACATTTATTTTGAAAAATTTTCCCTTCACATTCTCTTAAAACTGCAGAGGTTTAGGCTTTTAGGTACAAAGCCGAACGTCAAGGAGTTCTCATCTATAAACCTCTTGATATTACCTAGTAGATTTATCATCTCCTTGCCATTCCCTTACGATACATGCCAAGACCAAGTACAGGATTCTCACCTCTCAGTGAATTCAGACAGTGAAGTGGGGCGCAGAATCAGGATTCTACCGGCCATCTGCAATGTGTTAAGGAGATAACTATCTATAAGTCTCTTAAAAAACCATTGAGTTAACAAGGGATAGAAAAACCACGAAAAGATTAAAAAAAACTCAGATACCTCCTGTGCCATTCCCTTCTTGTGAAATATTTCAGGAAAACTCTTAATTCCAATCTCTATCAGTCTGGAAAAAGTAAGTTCATAACCAAAATATATACCATTTTCTTATTGAAGCACATGATAAGAAATAATATCACATGATTGTTTCTTGTCTGCTTCAAGTACCTTTTAGAACTGAATTTTGATTCAGCATCTATATAGATTACTCGGCCATCTAAGCCTCCATAGCTTGGGGGCAAAGAAGCTAGCAATGAGAGCTTCAAACAAAACTGCAATGTCGAATTAGCCCTTCCAGATCAGTAGCTCCAGAAAGTAAATATTACAGTAATGTATATTAAACCAACGCACCTGCGTTTTGCCAATTCCAGCTGGACCAACCAACTCTGTCAAAGCACCAAATGGTATGCCGCCACACAAAGCGTCATCTAGTCCTTTCAAACGAGTGGGAAGATGACCGGCCAAATTTTCGTGTTGTGCTCGATGTTCCATCAGATACAAAGCCTAGTAACAACTGAAACCAGTCATTGCTGAGAAGCTTAAATGAAAAATGAGGGGGGAGAGAGAGAGTACGGATTTTACAGTTTGACAAGGTGGACACACAACTTCACTAATGTGTGCTACCGCAGACGTTACTTCAGCCAGACCAACGTCCAGCAACTCCATCAACTCAAATTCAGTGAGAGATAACGCGTCCTGTGATTTAACCAAAACAAATTTTTTTAAAAAAAGATAATGATATTCGAACATTATCCTGTGGCGAATCCATAAAGAAACCCGCCGGGGAGGGGGAGATCTAATGGTGACCGCATGAACTGTGCAAGACGAAGGAGACAAAGGAATGGGCCACTAAAAGGCGTGAGGTATATTTGGAATATAATACTGAGCACGACTGAGGAAATCGAAGTCGGAATCGGATGAAAAATGAATATTTAAGCAAATTTGTACAGTTGATGACGAATAATCAGTTGTTCTGGGCGGACGATGATGAGAAAGGGGATTGTGAGGGAAATAAGAAGCTAGATACGAATTTAAAGAGCAAAATGGCATAACTAGTTACCTTGGCAGTGATGATGTTACGAGCAGCGAAGATATTAGCCATCCGTTTGGGCAGTCCCATCTCATTGATGAGCTTGTTCGCCATGTTCCCCGCCTAGAGTTCAGACTTCGCGGACTCCTTATTTTCGGCGCCAATCGGGAACAGCATAGTGCCCGCCTCCTGACCAACACTCTATTCCTTGTCATCTGGATTGCATCTATATCTGCCAAACGGTAGTTTAATTTCTTACCGTCCGCGGAGATTTTACATTATGTAATTATTCTTTTTATTTTATTCTAACCCCGAATACCATCCTGCAAAAAAAAAAAAATCTACACAGGAATCTCGTTGGCATTACATTTGAGAAATTTAGTACTCCTTAGAATTAAGCAAGTTGAAATATTCAAATCCTATAAATAAAAAAATTCCGCTGAGCCAAAACCCCTCTATCTAAACCTGACAAGAATTAAATTTATCCTCCACGAAGGTCGTGCGATCACATGCATACGTAAAAATCCTGAGATCCCCAAGGCGCTGAAATTTCTTTCATACTCATGTCATTTAAAATCTCAGAAAAATTACTTGTTTCATGAAATGTTTAAATGATTCTTTTTTTTTTTTGGCTAGTTTTATAACATTTAGAATTTTATATGTTCTTTAATTTTTCAAAATGATGGGCAATGTTTAATTATTTTCAATGCGGTTAATCGACTGGAAAGAATCATTATTTTTGTAATGTTATCTTTTTATATGTTTGGATTTGAGGGATGGGGGGAGGGACATTCCTCGGAGATTAATTTATATTTAGCACAATGAACAGAAGCTGTATTTGTAATAGCAAGTAAAATCAGCCGATGGTTCTGTGAAATTGGTTTTCTCTGTTTCCTTTTTTGCCCCTCAGAGCATGGAATGAATCTTTGAGGGTTCTTTGAGGAAGGCTATAAGACTCGGGTTGAGGTTGTCATTCCTGTCATAATTGTCTGAATCTCAATTATTTGATGTTGTGGGATAATAAGAGAGAAGATAATTATAGCTAAGTCAATGGCCTTCAGATTCCTGTCAATTCCATATTTTTTTAGAATATGAGCAAATATGGTTATTGAGTTTGAGTTGGAAACGAGAGTATTTGGCAGGGAGGTGTAAGAAATTTCATTTTAGTCATTCCCTAATATTTTCGTATCAACTAATCAAGTATCCCTGCGTGCTTCCCCCAAAAAACACACGTACAATGGGAGAAGTTGAAGTTTTTATGGCCCACTAGCCACAGGCCCTACACAAACCCAAACATGAAGCAGCATTAAAATGCTGGGCCCACTTAACCCAATTAAACCAAACATGGTGCCCCATGACCGACAAATTTATTATCTAGGGGTCCATTTGGAGAAATCGAACGCAATGAACGAAAGGAAGCAAGAAACTAATAACCGGGCACATCATTTTGGGATTTCAACCCTGGGCTTACACTGCATGACCAACAAAAAAGGACAGGAGAAGAAAATGCACAGGATCTCGTGTGTAAATTTTAGTCTTTTTAAACTTTTGGCTTGTAAATTAAACTTCTCTCGGTGAGGAGTAAATAATTAGTTCGGTGCAAAAAAGTTGAACTCAGCCTACCACCGTCCTCTGTTTTGCGCCTCGCGAACAGAGCAACCAATAAACTCGTCAGGGAAATGCAAAGGCTGGGTAAATTCCCAGCTTCCTATTTTTACGGTTCTATCAAATAGGGCTCATGGCATCTTCCAGCCGTATCTGGGTGACACTAGGAGGCCCTAGTAGTTTTTTCGTCCTAATTAAAGTACATCTGAATGATTAACGTACTTGTCCTGTCTTCTTTATGAATAATGCTTCGATTCCGTTCATATTTGTGATTTTGTTCTGTGTGCGCCTTTTTTTTTGGTAATGGTCGGCAGCTATAGCTTTCGTGTTGGGATTCGGGAAACATCCGACATTCCAATAGACGGCTAAAATGAAACGTGGATTAATATGATAGGATTCATTTTAATTGAACACGTAACGCCGAAGCAAAGAGGAGTTTACCGGGCAATTCTGATGAGGTTGCAGAGCCTGACACGTTATTTCATTCATAGTGTCTTTTCCATTGAGCCGCCATGACACTCGTGCGCGAGCGAGATACAGAGAATCTTCTGCTTTGTTTACTTTCGTGCGCTTTTTCATTATTGGAGAATTAAATATGATGTGCCGCAGAAGAAGTGAGCCAAGCCTATCAATTATGCGACAATTTGCTGATGGAGGAAGTACTCGCGGGGTTTTAAAAATTGTTATTTAAGAAGAGTACTAGCCATTTTGCTGATCAATTTCTTACTCTCGCTTTTATGGTGTCGGTTATGATATGATGAGGACTAGCCATTTTCCCTCCGGATGGATTTCTTAATTCACTCGCCTATCTAGAAGCGCTTGACCTGGTAAAAATGGGGCACTCCCAATCCCGCCTTAACCCAGGAAAGTACTTATAATAAGAAATTGTTTTTAAATTTATAATTTAGCAAAATTTTGTTCATTTTCAATTTAGATTTGTTCATATAAGTATCACCACATGGTATAAACCGTAACTCATCTCCCTAGTTTCTGAAAATATTAGTTTTAATAATTTTAAAAGACAAATTAAAAAATACTATAGTTTATTACTTTAAAGATATTAAATACAAATTTCTTAAAGCTAACTTGCTTTTTTTGCCTCCCAAAAACCCATTATGTTTTAAGAAGAGTTAGAAATTAAATCAGGCAAACAAGAAAAAACTTGGAGAAATTTCCCTCTTTTTTTTTTCCCCCCGTTTTTGTGGATTGAGGTTCTTTATAAATACACTCCCCTCTTCTCTATCATTCGAATCAATTCACCCCCCCGGGCCGCTGTATGGTAGGGGCAGAGGTTCTTCATTTTGCCAATTTCTCCTCTCCTTGTGACCCTCTCAACGCTCAAACCATATTCTTGCTCTTCCTCTTTCTTCTTCTTCTTCTTCTTTTTACTGATCCCAACACAGGTTTTAAAAAGCCAAAACTATGGCGACGAATTCCTCTTCGTCTCAAAAGAACCAAGCGAACTTTCCCGATCCCCCTAAGCGAGGCAAGATCAAGGCGCAGATTTTTAACGGCCTGGTCAAGTCAGTGGTCTCTGCAGCTTCAAAGGCAGGCGAGTTGCTCGGAATAGTCACCGGAAATGGCGGCGGCTCGGCTTCTTCCACCCCACCAACAAGTTCTTACAATTCCGATGCCTCCTGATCAACCGCTCCATGGCCTCTCCGGTTCCCTGAGCTGATCCGGGGCTCTGTCTATACTCTCTCTCTCTTCAAGAGGAAGCATCAAATATCCAGTTATGTGTCTTCTTTCCAGTTATTCAGAGTCTAGCCCATCTTTGTTGTAACACTAGAAGTGATGGGTGGGTGTGAATAAAGAATCTGCAGAGCCAATGTTTTAGCTGGCTCTGCAGTGTTGTAAATTAGTGCTGGGTTATCGAAGTTCGGTCTTGTTTGGGTCGGGGCCAGCCGTCTTGACGGTATTCTCATGCTTTTAAAGAGAAATCGTCGACGCTGTTGGGGCCTTCCTTTTGTACCGTTTGTAGTAATTAGGTTGTGATGATGTGTGTAACTTTTCAGGAGGATAATGAAAATTGTGTTACTGCGTTTGCTTTCATGCCTTTCCGTTTCAATTATTCCATGTACTTTTCATCCTTTTCCGTTAGCGAAATTGGTTGCGATCGCGACGATTGATTTTAAGCCAATGTTTTTAGTTGGCTTTTGTCAACATTTTTCTGGGCCTGGACGAACTTGATTCCTCGCTCATCGATGCTTCTATAGCCTCAGACATCGATCTGATTCAGACAATTGTAACAGATGCCAGAGATTTCACTTCTGTATCACTATTGTGTCCAATCAATCGAAATACGCGGGGCTCATCAGTTGTGGAAAAACATGGCCTTCGCCATGATATAATAAAATGAAAAGTGATCAATAAATAAACAAAAGAAAATCATATTTATGTTTTTCAAAGAGATAAAGATGTACGCATAATCTGAGACTCTCAAGGTTACTTCTGGGACCACCAAAAACTCCATATGAGGTGTGAAAGCTGCCGAACGAGGCTTGACCTTGTGAGTGGAACCCATCGCCATTGTGACAATGGGTCTCCATCTTATACCATGCAGACTCAGCATTCCCCCCCCCCCCCCGGTCGTTGTTATACACTTGATCTGGAGTCCGTAATTCAAGAGTTCTTTTTTGAAAAAATAGTAATATATTTTATCTTATCTGAGTTGACGGCGAAGTGTTGAAAACCACATGAAAGAGACAGGGACCTCTATTTTTCTGTCCTCAAACGGTTTCTGGGTCACTTGAATTCCGGGTCTAGGCCTTAGCCAGAATGGCCGAAAAGAAACCCTTGAAGTTCCCTGGCACATACAGACAGTGCTAGCCCTACGTTTTGTTCGCCCTTCGCAGTAGTTCTAACTGCAAATGGGTAGGTGTACGTACTGTGTGCCAAATGACAATTTTCCATCCTTTTCCCAAATAAATTTACCCCTCCCCTTTTTGATGAAAGATTCAAACCCCACCGTATCATTCCTGTGAAAAGAGGGGAAAAAATTGGGAGAATTACAATGAGATCCCAAACAAAAAATACAATTTAAAAACAAGTCTCAGAAATTGTTATTCTCATTATAAGATTTGTCATTATAGGTCGTTAAGATTGTTATTGGAATCTTTTGATGATTATTTTTTTTCTGTGAGACTTAATTATAATTCTTTCAAAAAAAACAAAGGGATGTCCAGCAATGAATTGTGGGAGGCTAAGTCATTCATACTGATTAAAGACAAACACCAGTGGCGATCTCATCGGTTGGTACCATGAATATGAAATTAACAAGTCAACGGTCCTGCGTCCCACGCCACGGGATCATGATAAATGGGTTTGTCTGTATACAAGTCTACGCACCAGACAGGTACAAATAATTAATTTCTTAAGAAAAAGCACTTTGATTTGATTAATAAAAGAGTTGGCTTTGCCAGGAAATAAATACTCCCCGGGTCTTTAATATATGACCCAATTCTTGAGTTGGTTTTGGTTCTAAATATAAGACCCACTTATCATATTTATCAGTTTTCTCTAAATTACCTCTACGGATACTTCATCAACCATAATCAAATAGAAGAGAAATAGTGGGTATTA